GGGATCCTTAAACTGGATAATTGAAAAGAATTTAGTAAAGGGACTATGAAGATAAAGTGGAGTTAGGGAAACAAGGGATGGTGCAGAACCCCAGGGCTAGTAATAGAGCTAAGGGAGTAAGGATGAGCCTTGGTCTTTGGTAGAGGCATGAGGGCCAGGACTCGGGTGAAGCAAGCAGAAACCCCCAGCACAGTTAGGGATGCTCACACTCTCAGGTTTGCAGAGGTGCCAGGCTGAGAGTAAGATACTTCTTAAATTTTGCTCCCTAGGCCTTGCTTGCCTCACCCTGGTCCCAGCCTTAAAGAGAAAACTTAGGGTGTCATTTTTCTCTCATCCTTTAATTTCTTACTGATGCCTCCAATTTGGTGAACCCAAATCTGAACCCAAAGCTCAGGGAACATTTACATCAATCTTCTAGAGCAGGGGTGGGCAACCTTTTTGTGAGTGCGTGCCAAAACCAGCAAAATCTCTGACTCAAAATTCTTCTGCGTGCCAACCCTAATTTTTTGAGAACATGTTACGCCTACTTGATATCTCTTAAGGTGTACGTATGTGAAGAACCTTGAAGAAATAATAAAATTCATTCGAGCGACAAAAACACAGTATATGATGATGAAAAATACATTTATTTTTTAATGTATACATGTACACTGATAGTCCGACAGAAAACTTTATGACTCCGTTTGATATTATCAGTGGGACTTTTGCTGCTGCAACACTGATGACAGAGATTTTACATCAAGTTTATATTTCGTGACCTTCAGAGATATGCACGAGCTACTACTTTCATCCGTCAGGCTACTCCTATTATGAGACTTTACAAAATTCATCACTGAGAACAAAGATTCACAATTGTAAATGGAAGATTATAAGAGAGGGTTTCCCATGTCAGCAAAAGTTACTGGTGTGCCATGTTTGGCACGCGTGCCAGGGGTTGCCCACCCCTGTTCTAGAGCATAGAAAAGTAGAGTGTTAAATAGAAGATATCCAATTCAGCACAGTGCCTCAATGGAGTTATGATGATTACCTGAATTAATATATACACTGAGTGGCCAGATTATTATGACCACCCCATCAGTACTTCATTGACACTTCCAAAAATACTGGATATTGAAAACTTCCTAAGCAAATACTCTCAAGGTTTTATTATTATTATTATTATTATTTGCATAACTAATTCACTTCATTGTACTGATGGGGTGGTCATAATAATCTGGCCAGTCATAATAATCTGGCCGGTCATAGTAATCTGGCCACTCAGTGTAAATATTTAGAGAGGTACCTGAAACGTGCTGAATTTTGTGCTTACCATTCTCTAACCTTAAAATCACATATGCATTTTTTTACCTAAACAATTTTTAGTTTTCCTTGTATTTGAACTTTATAAAATGGCATCTAATACTTGGCTTTTTAAAAAAATATATATTTTATTGATTTTTTTACAGAGAGGAAGGGAGAGGGATAGAGAGTTAGAAATATTGATGAGAGAGAAACATCAATCAGTTGCCTCCTGCACACCTCCTACTGGGAATGTGCCCACAACCAAGGTAAATGCACTAGACCGGAATTGAACCTGGGACCTTTCAGTCCACAGGCCGATGCATAGAGCCAAACAAGTTAGGGCTAGTACTTGGCTTTTTTAAAAACTCAGCATTGTTTCCAAATTATATCCATGTTATGTGGATATATACACTGAGTGGCCAGATTAATATATACACTGAGTGGCCAGATTATTATTAATATATACACTGAGTGGCCAGATCATTTATTCTGCTTAATTATATGGCTGTATTATAATTTAATTATCCATTTCCCATACAAACTCAATTGGGTTGTTTCTGTTTTTTTGCTGTTACTAACAGTGCTGCTATGAATATTATTTTATAGTTTCCTGGTACACACAGGCAAGAGGTTCCCAAGTGTATATATTTAGGAGTGGAAATTGCTGGATCATAAGGTATGTATGTTGACCTTTACAAGATTTTGCCAAATTGCTTTTCCACGTGGCTATACCAATTTACACTCACAACAATAATGTTTAAGAATTCCTACTGATGCATATACACTCCAGAATTTGGTATTCCCAGACTTAATTTTGTCAATTTACTGAATAAAAATAACAGTATCTCAACATAGCCTTTTTTGTATGTCTCAGATTAATAATGAGACAGAGCAACCTTTCATATGTTTATTAGCCATGGCATTTCCTCTTCCACGTTGTAATTTCTCATCCAATTTTCCTTTTCAATAATCTATCAATCATCATAATCATCTGCCATTTATTTACATTTCCCCGTGGAAGTCATTCATTTTGAGGATTACAGATGATTTTACATTTGCCACTTTTATACCTCCTATTTTCTCTTTTAGGGTACTTACGGCACGCTGACCAAGTCTAACTGTAATGCACATTTTGAGGATTACAGATGATTTTACATTTGCCACTTTATACCTCCTATTTTCTCTTTTAGGGCACGCTGATCAAGTCTAACTGTAATGCATTTATACACCACCTATTAGCTGGGTGGGTTTGGGGAATTGTTCACATAATGACTAATCCTATCCTCATCAGATTAAGATACTTAATAACTCTTTGTTATTTAGCAGGATGTATCCTATCATTAGCCTTTAGCCATGTAATGCACTTATACACCACCTATTAGCTGGGTGGGTTTGGGGAATTGTTCACATAATGACTAATCCTATCCTCATCAGATTAAGATACTTGGTCTTTGTTATTTACCAGGATGTATCCTATCATTAGCCTTTAGCCTTAAAAGTTCTATTTCCTCTACTCTAGTTGGTGACATCTGGAAGGCGCCATCATATCTTACACATCTTTAAACCACTATTCCAAGCATAGTGCCGGCCACGTTGCGTGTATTTAATCCTTTTTTTTTCCTAAAATTTTTACTGCTGTGTAATAAGACCGGCCTGAAAATATTGTCTATACTTACCTTACAGCTGGCTGCAGCACTTGGCGCACATCAGGTCTTCCTTGCCCATCTCTGCCACTTCACGTTGAAAGTGAGACAAGAAGCACTGTAGGTCTCTTACCTATAGTTAGGTGGCAATGGGCTCCCTTCTAGGGGAGGGGGGGAGGGCGGAGGCGGGGGAAGAGTTGCACAATGGAAGGGGGTGAGGGAGTCGATTCTAAACTTTTCGGACAAGCAGGGACTTTCCGTGGGGAGCCCTTACAGACCAATCATTTTCTTTACTCACATCGGACAAAAAGAGCAGTACCCACATCTACAACAAAGGCCCAACATTCATGGCCATGAGCCCTTGTGCACCTTTTATAAGAGCAAACTGTACAAACACAGGACACCCAGACATTGACACACACATGAAAACACAGCCACGTGCTCGGGTCTGGTCCCGCGGCTCCAGTTCTTTGAAACTGAGCAGAGAAAAACTGTCTTCGCATCCGGTTCCACACTTTCGACAACAACTTTAAGCAAAAATAAAACCTAAAGTTTAAAAATAACTAATTAAAAATATAATATTTCTTTTTTTCTTATGCGTATTCTTGTCTTTGTGCTTTTGTAGGGATTTATTTTGCGTCTCCAAACCGACCCTGCCCAGGAACACAGGTGTGGAAACTGCGACGAGTTGGGCGCGGCTGCCTGGGAGGCGGGACGGAGGTTCTGACGCCATCGCTGCGGGGCGGAGGCGACGCGGTCTGAGGAGAGGCTCTTCGTGCTGCTTCTTCGGACCCCTGGCTGCGCGACAGCGAGTCTCTGCCTCCGTAAGTTTTTCCCTCGTGGTCCGCCCACGGAGAGCCCCGCGTGGAGATGGCAGACGATCTTGGAGACGACTGGTGGGAGAACCAGCCGGCAGGAGCCGCCAGCAGCCCAGGTCGCGCACAGCGGTGGCAGCGCGCGGGCATCGCCCGGGAGGCGGTGCTGAGACTCACTAACACGTGGGACAGAGAAGTGTGACGTGAACCCAGATCTGCCCGCCAGCCAGGAAGGACCGTCTTCCAAGCTCTGTTTTTCTTTCCCTTATTTCTTAGTGGGTAAGAGGGTTTTCATGAGGACACCGTTTGGGTTGTAGGGGTTACGAGTAACTCCTAGAGTAGGTTCAGACTGCTTCCGTTCAAACCGCGACTCCAGCCCCATAATACTGCCCCCCCACCCCCACCCCATCTCTAAATAAGGATAATAACAATGCCAATTTCATAAGGTTGTTGTGAAGGTTACATGAAGATAATATAAAGGATGCACCGTAGCACAGTGCTTGGCACATGGGAAGTGTGTGGTAAATAGAAACCGGAGTTTTTCTTGCTGACGTCATCATAGTGATGTAATTTGGACTATTGGAGCCTAAAGGAGGCTTGGGGACCATCCGTTTGAACTCATTTTACAGACGAGGAACGTGAGACCTAAAGATGTAAAGTAATTGGACAAGTGCGCGTAGCTAGTTGGAATCAGAAGCAAGACTAGGATTAAGTTCGCACAATTCATACGGTGTTTACTGTGCTGTGTGTACCCCCTGCCAGTGCCGTGGACATGTTATCCTAGAGGAGAGAGCATGAAGTAACTTCTCACCATAGACCTGGCATGGAACTTTTCTTTTCACGTCCCATAAGGCTTAATTATGTCCTCTGTCTTTCTTCAAAGTTGGCCGGCCTCTCTACTAGCTTCTGAGATTTTTTTTAGGACAAGGCCAAAGTCTGATTTATGTCTGTATAGTCCACAGGGCCCTGCACATGATGGACACTTAATACATATTTGCTGCAAACGTTAATGTTGAAATATGAGTTGTGAAATGTCTGTTAGAAACAACAAAATTCTACTAAAGCATGTTTCCACAAGGGCAGCTTTCAGTACAAACTGAGCAGATGTCATTTTTGTTTCAGTACAATTTTTCTTTATTAAAAATTGCCCTGGCCGGTTTGGCTCAGTGGATAGACCGTCTGCCTGCCGAACTGAAAGGTCCCAGATTCGATTCTGGTCAAGGGCATGTGCCCGGGATGTGGGCTTGATCCCCAGTGGGGGACTTGCAGGAGGCAGCCGATCCATGATTTGCTCTCATCATGGATGTTTCTCTCTCTCTCTCCCTCTTCCTTCCTCTCTGAAGTCAATGAAAATATATTTTTTAAAAATAAAATAAAAATTTATATCCATTAATTATATTACTATTGATAGAGTACTTTACCAATAGAATGACCCTAAATGAATGGGATACATATATGATCTTGAGCAGAAGTCATTTTTTAAAAGTAGCCAATGTAATACGTCCTCGAATAACTTCCTGACTCTTTTGGAACTTTATTCCTAGCAAATGCATCTCTGTGTTTCAAGGCACAATTATCTTTCTTTGTAGGCTGTGGTGTCCCATATTTACTTTAATTACCCTCTCCCCTTATCTCAGGTGTTAAAAGCTATATTTCTTAAAGGATAGAGACCATTTAAGAACTAATTAAAATCTTTTCTAGTGGTGAAGGGAATCCTAATTCTTGATTCTAGTCCTGTCTCTTGCTGCTCACCAGCAATGTGTCTCTAAAGTTAGTTACCCTTTGGAAGGAGGAAAATCAACTTGTATTGAGCATCAGTTATGTGCTAGATGTTTTCATAAATAGGAATTTATTTCATCTTTATAATAACTTTAAAAGGTAAGTGTCATTTTTATAAATGAAAAACAGAAAAGTATTGTTCTGAGAAATACACAGCAAGGAAAATATCTGGCCTGACTTTCTAAATCACACTTTTCCCACTATTACTACATGGCTTCTCAGGCCTCATTATCATGATCTGTAAAATGAGGGTTCTTAGGGATTATCTTTGTAGGGGTTTTACCCGCCAACAGTTCTAAACATTGAATCTAGTAGAACTTTAAAGTGCTATAGCCTCCTTCGTCTAAGTTGCCAGAATCCCCATCAAGATAATATGTTGGAGTTGTCAGGATTACCTTACTTTTTAGATTCCTTCTAGCTGTAAGACTAAGCTTTGAAAATCACTAACATTAAATTTGTGAGAGGTCTTTGCTTTGTTACTGCTTTTAGGTAAAGTGAGCATATAAGCTTCCTTGAATTCTGCTTGAGTGATAATTTACTGGCAATTTGCCTAACTGATCTGTATAGTATTTCTAATCTGGAAGAAATCACAGTTGAACCAATTCAGATTTCCTGATTCTTCCTACATTAATGGGGAAAATCAGCCTAAAATGTATAAATTATGTTTTGTTTTGAAGATCAAAGGAGAAATAGTACCTTAAATCAGAAAAAAGGAAAGATAGTTGTAATGATGCTTTTATTCCTGTTGTGTGCTATTTGTCTATAAAAATAAACATCTTTCCTTATTACCTGTTCCCAGTTCACACCAATGGTGACAATACAATGGAGCATTTTAGTCATTTATTCAACAAATATTTGCTGGTTTTACACTGTGTATAACATCTGTCTAATGTATCCAGTTATCTGTTTATTATGTGTCTAAGCAAATATACTGTTTTTGCTGTTCTCATGTCTTCTTAGATGTGGTATGTAATTCAGAGACTCTTACTGAAGCTCTTGATCTAAATATGACCCTTTCTGCATATATCTTGTGGCTTTTCAAGATATGTCATTTTTATATTAGAATCCTGCATTGTAATGGAGCCCAACATGGGACCTGGTACTTGGAGTTTGGTAGATATTAGATGAATGAATGAATGGATGGAGGAATGAATGAATGAATGCAAGATGCTACAGAGCTCTTGGTGATCATATACATAAGTAGACATATAATTTCTCATCCAATCCAGGCACTTTTGAGAGTGGAAAGCCATGCTATTAGAATTTTACTGGAACTGTCCTGGTCCACCTGGGATGTGTGATCTCTCCATTGGTGACATTATTGGTGGTGATTGGAGTCATGGCCCAGGATAAGACAGCTGAGAGTTGCTTCTGTTGAGGAATGTGCAGTGCAGTCTGCTTCAGGCAGCAGAACCCAGGAATCATCTTATGGCATCTAATTTTTTTCTACTTATTTTCTTATTCCCTGCCTTCCTTAAGAAATTGTTTGAACTGATTTAAGTGAACAATACATGCAGTAGAATCATGACTACAAAACATTAATGATAATGATAAAGTGTGAAGCTGAAAACAGAGAATGTCATTTACTGCATGGATTTTGTGACTTAGGGAGCAGAGTTGAGAGTTCCTGGAGATAGAGAGGGTCACTTGATCATTCACTAACTGAAGAGAACACTGATTGTTTCCCCTTTTTATTCCAGTAACATGCCTATTAAATTACCAAGTCAAGTATCTAGTAGTCAGCTGGGTCTGGAGCTCCAGGGTTGGGTCAGGGCTGTAGATACAGATTTAGGAATGACTGGCAAACATACAGCTTACTTTTAAAGAGGATAGTTTTCACAGTCTGCAAAACTTCTAGCCTCCACTTCTTTAAGTGGGTTTTTCATATGCTTTCCCTAGTTAATTCTGAATCTTTGATGTCATCTCTTACCAAGCATCTAACTAGAAAACTGAAGTCTGAGGACACTTTTGTGTATAGTGTGGAAGACTGCAGATAATAATACTAACTTGGATTTGTTGAGTGCTTACTATGTGGCACATAATGTTTTGATTGCTCATTTAATCTTCATAAGTACCCCATGAGGTAGTTAACTATTGTTTTTCCCATTTTATAGATGAGGAAATTGAGGCGCTACATGGTTAAATTATTTGCCCAGTGTTACTCACTTAGTAAGTCAGAAGGCTGTTTTCATAGGCAGGCAATCTGAAACCAGTCTGTGCACTTAAATTTCTCATACATAATTATTCTAATTATCAATGGTAAGCGTATCATCTCTAAAATAACAATCCTTTATCAATTTAAAGAGGTTCATATCTTATAAACCCTTCTGTTTATATAGATCATTGTTATCAAACTGTGTCTATTAACCCCTAGTCTCCTTAAGTTTGCTCTTCTAAAGAACATTGATTACTTGGATACAAATACTGTAAGTACGTTGCACCATTGCAACCTACTCTACTATCTCTACCAGGAACTCAAACTTAATCCTAGAGCTCAAGGCTCATATACCTGGCTGTCTTCGTAAAGTCTTTACTTATTTCATAGGAATGTCAAATGCAAATGAAATCCAATTACTGAATTATTCCCAAATCTGCCTCTTCTCCAGACTTCCTTATCTCAGTAAATTAAATAACCAACTACCCAATTTCACAAAGAAAGGCCAAGGAATATCCTGATTTATTCATATTTGGATTTATTTTTATAAATTATGTTTTGAAAGGGGACAACAGACTTTTGCTTTGTAAATGAGCCAGTAATTCTTACAGGTGAAAGCTTTTGTCATTTAGAACCAATTTGATTGTACATTTTGTTTGTGATTGCTGAAATGGGCATTGTAAAATTTTTTTGGTAATATTTAATATGTTTTATAGTATCTCCTTCAAATCACGTTGCTTGCTTTATCTATGTTGAATTCCTTTTCGAAATGACAAAGTAGGGGAACACTTTTGATCTTTCCTATAAACCTGAATAAACCAGGGGTTTTTTTTGTGGCTTTTTTTTTCTTTTCCTTTTTCACATGAAAGGCCTATAGGCAGCCATGCATAGTAGATGTTGTAGAGCAGTGACTCTACATGTAAAACTCAGACTTGGAATATTTACAGTAGATTTTGATAACATACAACAGAGGATCAACTTCAGGGCATGTTATTTTTAAAATCATTTATTGAGCTCTCACGCTTGGCCCTATTTTAGACACTTGTAATAGAATTAGAGGGGGGAAAGCATAATCTGCTTACATTATGGTATTTACACATTGATGTGGTTCAATCAAAATTCAAATAATATTTCTTTAAGACATAAGTTCAGGGGCAAAAACCAGGGTCAGGATAACTTTTAAAA